TGATGCTAATGTACACAGTTGTCTGGTGAATTAAGATACACTGCTGCATGTTTTGGTGGGGTTTTTTTGTTTCTTTTGCATTCAGAATCCAAAATAACCCAACAGCTGTGTGTGTAGGTAGACAAATCTGGGTGAATAATGAAAGACTTTGGGGAATGACAGCACCGATCTGGTAAAGCTCAGACATGTAGATCTTTGAGAAGCTGCTGACAAGCTCTCAAAAACTGGAGGGGTTTTAAGCAGACAGTGAATGGCAAAATATATAGACAGATGACTACATAATACTCATTAGTCCTAATTTAGTCTCTCAATCTTGAAATGAGTGGAAGGTGTTCTTGTTTGTTATAGTACTGGCATTATTTATTGCTTGTCAAGTGATAAGACACAGATCCCACTGTGATGCTGTATAAATGTGTACTACAAGGGCTACATTTGATACTAAGAACTCCATTTTAAAGCAGGCTTTAAAAGTCCCAATAATTAACTGATTAATAAATCTTAAAAAGTCCTAGAGCATCCATAAAGTCTTCAATTGATTATCACTATACACAGCAACTTAAAACTTCCACAGATGTGCTCATAAGCATTTATGGTATACAGATGCACTTGTGAGATCTTCTGATAATAAATATTAGCTATTAAACCTCAGTAATTGAATTTTCAGGGATGGGAAAGAATTGCCTCTTTTCTTCATGGGTAATATTAAAGAACTTAGTCTGAGCATTTAACCATATAACATTAAAAGACTCTTGGAAGTGCTAGATAGGTGTATTTGGCCAGACCTTTAGACATCATGAGTATAAGCATTTGAAGTCAGCCTTTATGAAAACAAATGTTGAATGCCTGTTGAAATCAACTGAAGTAGCTTGCTTGCTTCTGAAAATTTTTATGGGTCTTCCAAGGTTCCAGCCTCTACCTTTTTTGTCAAGGTTTGACATATTACAGTGATATGATAATTTGTACCACTGAAGTTTTGATACTTGGGAAACCTCATTATGAATTAATTTTGAATTTTCAGAACTTAAAGTGGCACCAAATTTGGCTGTGTCCGGAGTTTAATTTGCTAGAGTTAATGTGATAGAGTGAGAGATGGGTATTTTTGCTTGTGGCAGTAACCTGATGTTCCATTAGAGAAAAAAAGCTTTTTGCATACTGTCCACGTGCACCACAAAAGAAAACCTCTTCTGAGAGGGAGCTTAGAGTCTCGTATCAAGACTAAGTACTGGTTATTCTCCATTGGTATTGTCCCTGAAATCATACATGTTTACAAGAATGATTTATGGATTCTTTTTTTCCTCTGTTTTCCTATGCTTGCAGTAGCAATTTATATACTTACTTTAGCCTGAATCTGTTTTCATATTCACAAACTAATAGAATTACCAATTACTCTATTGATAATCGTGGGACTATTTTTATATGTTGAATCCTTTTAAAAGTCTACACTGCTTAATACTACAAGCATCATACAAATGTACAATGATATTAAGAAATACAATAGGGTGAGATCTGTGCTAAGTAATTTTTATTTATGCCCCTGAAATTGTGCGCAGACACTGATAGGACACAGTACTCGTTAGATTTATGTGTAGCAAGAGTGATAGCTCAGTAATAAAATTATAAGCTTGAGATATGTGATACTACGTCACTGTTTTCTCTGTGTATTTACTTATCTGGTTTCACTGTTACAAAACTTATTAGAAACTGAGAAAGACTAACAGCATATAGCACATGCAGCCTGATACCCTGCTTGTATTTCCACCTTTTACTTAGCATGCTTAATTGCATTGTTCGCTACTGCCACTAGTATGATTTGATTCGTTTTACTTCTTACGGTCTTCCCATTTGTCTTTTGGTTTGGTGCATTATAAGACTACATGATAACATGGATAACACTATTCCCAAGGTAAGCTGCCACAGCAGCTTGTAGGGCATAGTATCTCCAAGATTCTGTAGTGTGCCCATGTCTTACAACTCATGATAGTATTGTTCTGAGGTTTCATTATATTTTTGTGAGAGGCTTTTTTTTTCCCTAGTTTCATTAGTTGCTCTCTCTCCTGAGATAGAACATTGCATCTTCATCCAGAGCAGATGACATATACTCACTGTAAGCAGTAAACAGCAGAGTGATGAAATGCTTGCTTTGTCTTTTTAATGTTCAACTGCAAGGCATAAAGATGTTATGTAGTGATTTTACTTACCTGCTGCTAAGCTATCTATGTTCCTGCTAATGTAAGAAGGAGAAGGAGCCTTTAATATAGCTGTCCTGTCCTGGAGTTTGACTGTCAATAGGTTTGTCTATTTAATTAATACTGAGTGGTATCTTACCATGTTGAGAAGTGTGGCTTTATTCTGGGATGTAATACAACTGGCCTTGGTCTTCTTGACCACTGTTCTTCTGCTGCAAGGAGGGCTGTACAGTGCTTTAGAAGGTCTTTCATTTTGAAAGTTTGTAGTGGTTTAAAAATTATTCTGTGTGTATAAAATAGCATAGATTGTTCAATGTGCTTGCTTCTGGGACTAGAAGAATATTTTTAATAGAGTAACTTCCAGAAGGAAGGTGGTGCAGTCTCACCCCTCTACACAGTGCAGCCCAGAGAAACTCACTCATGAGCCTATGCATCAAATCCACAGCTTCTGTTTATACACTACCATTGCTTTCCAGATGTTATCCTGCCTTGCTGAAAAGGCTTTAATGACTAAGAATTTACTGTTCACACAAGGTAGTTGCTGCAAAGATTATTTTCCTTGATACTTACGTGAATGCATTTACTTATAAATTTCCATTTGACTGATTTCAGCTTCCAACAAATTCTTAGATTCTCTATATCTTTTCTTTTACATCAAAGGCTCACAATGAGAGGCTTCGTGTAGATGCTTGCAGGCTGCGGCAAAACAATTTCTTTGCTGCTTCTTGGTTAAAGCAAATAAACTGAGCTTATCAAGACTCTGATGAAACACATTTTTCTAGCCCTCAGATCATGTGCATAACCATTTCCTGAACCATATCTCACTTTTAGTTATCTTCTGGAATCAAAAAGCAAGAACTAGAAACAGGATTGTAGTAAGTGTCTTGCTGATGCTCTGATCAAGAACAGCCATGTCTTCCTGTTCCTACCTGATTGCATTTCTGTATATGGATGCTAAAGGTTGTTTGACCTTTTAACTGCATTGTTGCTCAGGAACTTCATGTCTTTTTTAATACCATTGCACTCCATGATGTAACTTCCCATCCTTCTAGTGTGATATGTGTTCCTTATACCCAAGTGATTGATTTTATATTTATATGTTGTGTTGAAACAGGCTTTGTTCTTATGAGCCCTGTTCACAGGGAATACAGAGCAGCAGGCATCAGTGGCCAGTTCCATTGCTAACCACTCCTTTGAATTCAGATTTATTTTTTTTAACAGTGCATCCATCCATTATTTTTAACAGTGCATCCATCCATCCATCCATCTTTGTCCCAGCAAAATTTTGATCAGTCTGTGTTTTAGCCTCAAATACCTGAATCATAAAGGGATTTCCTCCCAGTTAGGTGGTCAGCATGTCTAAGAGCAGATTATGTTCTTACCAGTATTTGCTTGTTCACACCAGTAACAAGAAAATCAAAGATGTAGAGTAGGGATGTAAAATAGTAAAGGGTGCAGACAACTTCCCTTGATTATGAATCTTGATCTGCCTTTCCTAGTCAAAGTTTGTACCTGAGGAATTTCTTGGAATGCTTGTCCTACCACATCAAATTGTAGCAGCAGCCATGAGCAGCCTTCACTATAACAGTAGATACAGTTGGCTACATTTTGCTCACTAACATCCCCACCCCCCAAGGAAAAACCACCAACCAAGCAAAAAACCCAAACCAAAAATGCCCACCCTAATGTTTGTTAGTGCCAAATGAAACTGCCATTTTAGCACATTCCTGTAGATATGCACCACACAGTATTGGCAGTAGAGTTCTAATTTTCCAAGTGAAGAATCTCTTACTCAGCTGCAAATTCTTCTCTAACATCGTGTATGCAGTTGCTCTTGTCTCTTTCTGAAGTAGTTTGGATTCCTCAGGAGCCTGCAGGTCACATTCACAAACCTGTTTTTAGGATTTTTAACATTCAGCTGCTGTATGCATGTTTGTACACATATGTGCTTCCAATGGATTAATTGCTAGCCATATCAAGTGAATTAAAATTGTGTTGATATTGGACCATATGAAAACATTTAAAGCAGAAAGTAAGTTTTTCATGAATATAAAAGAAATAAATTATATCATCTTCACAATTTAGATAAAATGGGTGTAGTGAAAGATGGTATTAAAAGCCATGCTGGCAGCAAATGGTAGCTTGTGTCATTGCCAAATCTGTCTTCTAACCTCTGTGTGACCCAATTCTGCTGAATTCCAGTGGTCTGTGCAAGTACGTCTTCTCTAGGTATAAGAATAGTAGCAGCAGTTTCACTACCTAGAACAAGAATGTACAAGGCTATCAGCTGTCTTGCCTAGGGGCATGAGATGATTGCCAGCTGGGGTTAAGAAAAAGTGTTTCCTTCCTGTGAGGCATTACATAATTATCTGTGTATGTTAAGTGTGCTGGGGTTTTTGTCTGAAATTCATTATATAAGCCAGTGCTATAAGGAGATGCCAGATAAAGAAAACAGCCTGGGCATATGTATTATGGCACTTCTGTTTTCTCCTGTTTTTAATACTGTCCAAAATAAAACGAGATTCAGTTTATGTTTCACCTTGTTAGCTTTGGAATGCTTTGCTTTTAACACTGTCCTGCCAGCTTTGTGACGCAAATTTGACTGCAGCTGAGGAATATTGTTAATCCTCTCATCTCCTTGTGGGGAATCAAACTTGAGCCAAATGAAATGTTTTGTGCTATGGTGTTTTCTTTTATTACTGCACGTACAAAGCAAGTAAAAATGCTGCCTGCCAGGATCTTGCCAGAGTGATACTGATTCTCTACTTTTATGAGATGCCAATAAAATAGGAGTTATTCTTTTTCATCTTGCAGCTTGCTCTTCACCAAAGTAAAACTGGAATGGATACATAAAGGACCTGAAGAGGCTCTGGTGACATGCAGACATATGTTGCAGATGTGGCAGATGGTATACAATGTTTTACAGCACAGGTAGGCTTTCTCCAATGTAGCAAGTTCAGATTTGAATTGGTAATGTGGTTATCTTTTTAAATTTTCTAGGTACTTGAGTTATTTTGCAAGAAGAGTCATAAACAGTACTGTTTAAGAGATAAGTAATATTTCTAGCAATGATTTAAAAAAGAAAAGGGAAGATTTTAATGGCCATTATTTAAAAAAAAACAAAACAAAACAAAAAAAACACAAAACCAAAAAACTAGAAAACCTAAACTTCAATGTTTTAGTATTGAAGAAGCGGTTTGAACCACAGGTTTCTGCACCAATGGCTAAACATCTCTCTCCATATTTCGATGTCCAGAATGGAGGACAGATTTTCTTTCTCCCCAATAGTGCTGAGCTTTCATCAGCTATTGTTCACAGTCTGCAGAAGTTGGCACCACCCAGGAATGTGTGGGGGTGACACAGTCCTGAAGTGAGTAAGCCAAGGAAAGGCACAGTGCCAAACTCATATGCTGTAGCTGCACGCTGGTTGCACAGCCTGGTGCTAACTGGGCAAGGAAAGAAAGGAAGGATGTAGCATCTTTCACCCTACCCTTGTCCTAGTAAATCTGCATTCACACAATGCTACGTTCCCTGTTTCCTCCCTTTCATCTGCTGCCCCACTGAAAGATAAAGTTGAAAAAGTGTGGAAGATACTGAGTTGGGTTTTCTTCCTTCCCACACCCTTTGGATATTGCCCTAGTCAAGGTATCAGTGTACAATGTCTTGGGAATATTTTACCAAGACTTCTTGCCCATAATGTCCACAGGGGTTGTGTTTGAAGGGAAGGACAGCATGCTTGATGGCAGCAATCAAGACAGCAGGGTGATGTAGCTTGAGTTGTTCCCCAATTTTTGTATGCATTTGCATAAGTTTTATAAACACCAGAAGTATATGCACAGTATGGTGCATGTCTATGTACAAGTTGTCCTTGAGGGGATATTAGTAATTCTTGTTGGTTTAGCTAATGAGCAGCAAACCAAACACAAAAAATCAGAATATTTACATAGCAGCAGTGGTCTTTTACAGACTTGAATCATTGATTTCCTTAGGCCTTAGTATCTTTAGCTGAGGATTCAATCCTGTACCGCTCACATGAATAATCTTTATACCCATGAGTAGTCCTTGTGAAGCTGATCAAATCCACACTGAACAATTATGACTGAGGAAGGTTTACTTTTGCAAGGGGGGGCTGAAAGCCTGCAACTGTAGAGAGTACATTGGAAAACAGACAAATAGCTAGTTCAGCCATTTGGACTGCATTTGGATCCCAAGCTGTGCTTTGGCTCTTATACTTAAAAACCCAGGATGTGATAGCTTTAGAGGCTTTTGATAAGCTTTAGCCATAGAATCTTAAACAAAACAAATTGCTTTGCTTTTGCTTTTAAAAACTCTAGTATATATTTCACTGCTATTCCCAGCAGGGCTTTTTTTTTCTTTTTTCAAAAAACACACCATAAAGTTTTTAATATCAGGAAATGCTATTGGAAAGGTAACAAGAATCAACTTGGTACCTGCAGTTTTAGACTGGATTCAGTGACCCAGGAAGCCCCTTGTATTTAGCAAATTGCAGCAGTATCAGCTAACAAATATGTAAAGTATTCTGGGTAGGGCTGGCAGAGGAACTTAAGGGGAATTCTTATCAGTGAGACTTGGACAAAGGCATTTTTAGGGCCTCTTGCAAAAGAGGAGGTTGTATTTACACAAAGTTGAGAGCTGTTACACTCAGTATTCCTTACTGGTTCAATCAGTGGATAATTGCCTACACAATTAAATGGCACTTCAGTTGCATTTGTCTGGCCTGTTGCTGGCTTTGCAATCTTACTGTGATTCTGACAGACCAAAAAAGTCTTTCAGGGCCCAGTATTTTATCCCCAGCAGCTATTTATATGCCCTGTTCAAGTCCCCTGTCTTCTCTCTGACAAACTGGTGCCTTTGCATTCTCACAACCAAGTGTCCCACTCAGTGTTTTTGTCACCAATTTGTCCACTGTCTCAACTATGTTTCAAAAACATGGGCAGTAGATGTCCTGCTGTCATACTGTCAACATTTCCAGTGCTGTATGTAGAAAGCAAATAATCTGGTTACTATCCCTTCCGTGGTGCATCAAAAGCTTTCCTGGCTGAAGGCTTTGTACTGCAGCTTTTAAAGGGTAGTTAATTTTCAGCCCTTCTCTGGGATAACAAGGCCATTGGGAGTGGCTGTTTTGCACAATGCATTACACTGCGTTTTCAGCCTGGGATTTTCCAATCTCTTCACCTGTCTTTAGAGTAGGAGTACAGTGTATTAACCAGTGTTCCAGCATGTGCCTGAGCAGTGATTCCACGGTGGTGGCTGCTGCATTAAGGTAGCACTTACCTCATATCATGGCAGTAATGTATGGAAGTGCAGCTGCCTTATTCCTGCATGCACAGGAGTGAGACTGAGCTGTCCATACAGTTTCACCAGCAGCTTCTGGCCAGGGCACTTACACTTGGGTCAGTCCTGTTTAGGTAAGGCTGAGGCATAGGACAGGTAATTTAATTTCCCTTCTCTGTGTCACTACCTGATAGTCTCAAATTAATTATCAGTGTGGAAACCAGTATGGAAGACAAGAGAGGCCCATTCAAGGACAGAGATTGGTGCAGTCCAGTGCCCAAGAATTCAGAGAGCATTAACAGAAACCATTATGCTTGGTCTCAAAGCCCAAGTAAAAGGTTATTTAGCTGCTGTAAATATGATTGCTATTATGATGAATGACAGTAAGTGGCTTTCAGGCTTAGGTTGTTAGCTGGAAAGGACAAGACTTGCTTTATCTTTTGCTGTTGTTTTCTGTGATAACAATAATTGTTTTTAAAGCCAAATAGCAGTCCCAAGCTAGTTCTTCTGCTAGATCAATGCAGATTCAAGAGAATTCTGTGCAATTCCTACCGAAGGACTCATCAGACTGAAAGATGGGGGCATCCACACCAATCATGTCTCTCTGACAGCTTGCTTCCTGGAAGGAATATTGTCCAAAGGCTGAGCTGCAGGCTTGGAAGTGTGCCAGAAAAAGTAGCCAGGGCAGTCACTTTTCCTTTTGGTATTTCATCCCTTAATGGATGATGAGAGGAGATATCATCACCACTGATCCTTGGGGGAAGGCAGACTATGTGGTGACAGGAAGGCTCAAGAGATCTGTGTTAAGTGACTTTTTGTTAGCCACATGATTTTTTTTTTGTGAGTTTCTCTTTGTAAGGCCTCTCCTGTGAGGACAGAAGTCCAGTAGAAGAACAGACCAGAGTTTCATAAACAGACCTGTTTCATAAAGCAGTGCTATCTGGTAGTTTTTATCTTCCTCCTCTTTTTGAACAGAACAAAGGAGGAAGGGGAGCAAACCTAAAATTAAGGGCACATAAGCCCTTTGAAATGAAAATATGAAGAAATTAGCACCCAGGTGGAAGGTGGTAATTGGTCTATTTCAAAAGGATCAGCACAGTAAACCTGTGAACAAATTATTCTGCAGAAAAGCCCAAGAGATGGTGGCTCTTGCTGGGTCTGGGTCTGCTAGTGGGCCTCCTCTGGTCTGACTTCTGGCTGCTAACATGTTTCTTGTCCAGTGGTTTGTAAAGACTTCCTATAGCCAAATAAACTAAATACCAGTGTGTGTGCCCTGGAGCCCCTGCTGGGCAGTCTCTGAGCTTCCTGTCCACTGGCAGTGGGCTGGGTGTTAATACATTCAATAAGCTCATTTCTCACAACTGGAAACCTTGATTTTTCACTTCCCATGGCAGCTAAACTATTGCCTGCTTTGAGGGGAACATTTCTCCACTGAGGGTTGTCCGTGTTACACAGTTTTGTTTCTTTACAGTGGCTCTGAGAAAGGAAGTAGTGTGACCGAAACACCAGTAATCAAAAAGCATAATGGACTGCATCTCACTCTCCCAGATGCTCACGACACTGATTCTGGTAAGGAAACAAGATTTGTGCTTTCTTGTCCTAAACATGTGCTTTTGTGAGAGATGAATGGTTCATTTTCTTTGGAGAGGGTGGTGGGCCTGTGCACATCTGTGTTGCTGGGCTGCTGGTCAGGAGGTCCAGGTCTGCCTCCATGGCCAGCTTTGCTGTGGAATGTGTCACTGTGGTTTGCCTGTACCTTGGCTTCCCCATACATATCACAGACAGGAGTTTCTGCTTTCTTTCACAAAGCTCTCCGAGATGTATAATTCTGTCCTTCTTTTTATTTTTTTATTCCTTCCCTCCCTCAGCCTGCCTCCTCATTTAATTCTGTTTAGATGTCCTGATCAAGCCAGCTGCTTTTGTTGGTTTTGGAAAGCTGAGTGAGAGTGTCTATTCCTATTAGATGGTGATTTGCTCTGGGATTTGTGCATAAACCTTGTGATGCTTTATTGTATGGCAAATACATATTCACAGTACCAGATACAGTCAGATGGAAGTAACTGAGACATCAAAGCTGATCTTGGCAGTAAAGGGGAAAGGCAGCTTTCAGAGAGTGCTGCTGACTTGTGATTTCTGTTGTACATCTCGTGATACTTTTTACTTCTTTAAAACCCTAGCTCAAAATCAGATGATGATGTGAGAAACTTGCCTTTTAGTTTGGAGGGTTTTTTAGGGAATCAAGTGCCTATGCTTGTGGGTATAGATGAAGCAAAGAAAGTGAATCTCAAACTCAGAAAATGGACAAGAAAAAAACCTAACACGTAAATCTCATGGATCTCTAGGGAATTAGGGTTTGTCTGAGTCTTAATTGTGCTATATGCCATGGTGCTGCCTGCCAGAAAGGGCAAATTAATGTAAAGTACAAGCTTTGAATCAGCTTTTCATGCACTTAAAGTGATTTGCACTGAATGCAGTTTGGTTTTAGCCAAGAAATGTATTCCTCCTCCACTTTGAGACTCCAGGTTTCCATGCTAACATGGTTGCCCCCACAGTGAATGCAAGAAAGGAGCTGGTACTGAAATTACACCACCCACCTAAGTGTGGGGCTGGCACTGGCTGCTTTCAGCAGGGCTCTGTGGCTCCCTTCTCTGCAGGCTCTGGGCGTTGCTGTTCTCCATCTAGAAGGGAAGCAGCTGATCTGCTGTCCCTGTTGGGAGCCTTTTTGAAGACAGTAGTGGGTGAGATTGTAGGGTACAGCTCTACCTCCTCTTGCCCTTCTCCAGGGCTGGGGCTGGGGCTGCCTGCTTTGAAAGAGGAGGAGGTCTGATGTTTCTGCATGGCTGTGGAGCAGGCAGTGCTGTGTTGTGCAATCCCCCGGGAGCATGCAGCGGCATCACTGCACTGCGCAGGCGCTCTGTCATCTCTGGGCTCATCACTGAAGGGTGGCAGTCACTGTGGCCAGCTTTCACACTGGCCTCTCCCTCAGCTAGACCACAATAAGATTATTTGCTGTGCCAGAATTTTAGGTTTGCTGCCAGAAAGATTAATTCCTCTTTATTTTCTTCATCTTTTCCTAACTGAAGCAGTGTTCCTAACTAAATTCACTGACATCACTCAGCTGCCTTGCTATTTCATTCTTTCTCTGATTTAGTCTTATCTTATAATGCTTTTGTCTGAAGTGATTTAGGCTTGGGACTTCTGTGTTTCTTATAAGCCTAGTATATCTAATGAGCTGCATTTCTATTTTGATAGCAGTTTTCGCATAAATGCAAAATATTAAACTTGGTTTTTTTGGTCTTAAAACACCCTAGAACAGTGCTTTTAAATTATTTAGATAGATTTTGTATGGCTTATGTGCAGAGCTCATCAGAACAAAATCAGTTTGTTATTTCATGAGTTATTTCCAAAATGTTTGGCGGGATTTATTGTAAAATGTGAAGTTTATATTCTGTCTCGTAGAGCTGTTAAATAGAGAAAGAGACTGCACTAAAATAACAAATTGATATGATATCTTCGTATGCCAACATTTGCATGTATTTTGAGGCATGACATTAAAGTTCTGCGAGACAGGTTTTGTGGGGAGGTTTTTTTAGCATGTTTCTTTCGGAGGAGATAGCTTATGAGACGTTCAGATAAATTTTTTAATGTTGCTTGAAGTTTTCTCATCTCCCCCCACCACCCTCAGGTCAGAGTCCTGTCAGTGTGGCACGTGCTGATCTCCCCTCTCAGGATATAGTGTGTTTGAGGTAAACTCTTTTGTGGCTGCAGTAGCCATCAGCCCACCCCCATGGGCACTGTGTTGCTTGCCTGAGATGCAGAGATGTGGCTGAGCCCCTTTCAATCCAGAAGGACCAGGATGGTAAAAACCTTCTCTTACAGAGTTTATTTGGTGAGGCAAGCTTTAAGGAGAACTGCTGTGAGCATCCCAGCAGAGATGGGCAAGAACAGTGGTGGCAAAAGTGGAGTATGGGCTGGTTTGGAGAGAGCCTGATCATCTGACATGTACATGTCCAGAGCAAGGAGTGTGTCTGTGTCTGAGGCCAAGCAGGGATGGCATAGCCTACAAGAGGAAGCAAAATATTTTAGGCATGGTCTCTGCCTAAAATATTTTGCTTCCTCTTGTAGGTTGGAAAAGAAAGTAAACATCAAAGGATTGGCATGCCAAAGAGCCTCCCTGTAAATTGCTAAGTAACTTGGGTCTCATTTGTCCAGCTGTGCAGATGCCCACTGCACTAGGCAGGATCAGTCTCAGTCTCAAGTTCCCCTCTTGGCAACTATTGGGCTAATGAAGATAAGATGAGGAACAGCTAACTTGGGTTTCTTTGACAGCAACTATGCTGTTATATTCCTGTGAAGTCTGCTTTGTGAGGGAAGGATGCTTTAGTAGATTGTAACTGGATCTACTTAGGCATTATGTGAACCTCTCCAAAATGCACAAAGGTGATTTAGTTTTCTTGGATTGATTTGCAAGGAAAAGAGGATTTCCCGAGCTCTGTGAGGATTGAATAAGACACCAGCCTATCTGCCCACCCAGTGCAAACAGCCCAGCGTTACATGTGGATGCTTGCAAGAAACACAGCTCCACAAAGCTTCTCTGGGAGAGGGCAGCCTTGGCAGGAAAGTTGCATGCAAAACATGTTAATATAAGAACCTCCTTAGGCTGACTGCGCAATCCACAAAGTTAATGTAATTTTTTTTCTAGGTTTGCCAATCTAGAAGGCAAGAAGTCTGCCCTAACTTCAAAGCTCTGTTAATAAATTTACTAGCTTGCTCATGTGTCCATTTTCTTGTCTCTGCACTGCAGGGAAGCTGTGTGTGTTTTAGATGGCTAGGGATAAATGCTTGGTAGTATTGCCTGTGTCAAATGGCTCTAGACTGACTTAAATTTCTGGGAGATTCAGTGAATTTCTCACTAGTGGATATAGGGATCTGGGAGAGGAGTGAGTGGGCAAGGCAGGGGAAAAATCTCATGCAGTGAAACAGGCTGAAGGTGGATCAGTTAAATAAACTGGTAAATACAATAAATTCTTCCTGCAAAGCTGAATGGCTTTTGCCCGTACCCTTAAAGCCGTAATTGCTACATTACTGCACTGTCATCTCTTGGAACATTAGATCAGGAATGTCTTTGAAAATATGTAGGAATTTAAGAAATGCATTTGGGAAGAACACATTTGCATTTTCCAAGGGAGCCGTGGGAGGCGCCTGCTGCAGGGCTGTTTTGAAGTTCTCCTGCTTGAAATGAATGACATTAGTTAGTGATGAGATAATAGGACAAATATTTCCCATAGCAGTTCTGAGCCTGGAGTTGCACTTGTGGTCTCTCCCAAGCCGTGACATGCTCACCTCGGGTTAAGTAGAAGCTGTAGCCATGTCCTGCCTTGCAAAGCAGGGGTGCTGGCACGGGAGAGTAAAGCCTCCCTCATGCCTGCTGGGAGGCTGGGTCCCTGCTCCGCATCCAGAGCGGAGATGGCCGGGGGGCCATGGCTGGGGACCACAGGGTGATGTGCTGGTCTGCTGGAAAGGAGGTGTGGTTTGGCAGCCCTCTGTCTCTTGAGCACACTCCAGCTGGAAAAGCATGCTGTCCCTCTCAGAGAGACCATTAAGTGCATGTGCCCCGTGGCTGCGGGAGAGAAAAAGCGGGATTTTAACTCTAGGATCTTGTGGTTTATGAGGTCAGCCTGTAACGATAGATTCAAGAGTAATGCTAATCAACACAAGTGCTTCAGTCACAGCAGCTCTCCAGAGAAAGAGCTTATCAACAATAAAATCACATTAAAACCTATGTATATTAAAATATTTATTTCTCAAAGCCAATTCTGAAATCTCATTTTGTAGCTTCTTATTTTGTTACCACCATCTCGATACCCCTCTGAGAGGTTGGTTCACCAGTGTTATCCCACTTGCTGTACTGGAGAATGTGGTTTCTGCCCATGCAGCCCTCCTGGGATAAACTTTTGATGTGATGTTTTGTCCCAGAGGTGTGAGCGCCAAATACTTCATTCTTGCGTAAATGTTACAGTGCATACTAAAGGTTAATGTAGTCAAAGCTCTGAACTCTGTGCTCCCCAAGGTTAAATGAAAAACCACCCTGTCTCTAAATCAGTAGAACAATATTGATGTCACTTGAATTGCGTGTGCTATGTGAATGGGGCTAAGCTACCTTGTAATGCTGTATGAATTTTTTACCTTAGTGGAGCACATTTTGTAGCTGTATGATGACTGTGCTTATAAAATGGGTATTTGTGGAAAATATTTGATGCTAGACTTCTGCTTCCCAAGCGAGTAGAATATGGTTGCTTCCTTGATGAATGCTAAGCAGACCTTTATAAAATTACTGTCTGTCTCTTAATATGCGTGTTTGAGCTGCAGCCCTTGGATAATTTAGTGAGTTTTTTTTCAGTAAATTAACCTTTTATAAAACATTCTCCAGTTTGTCATGCCAAAATTCAGCAGAGTTCTTATTACGTAAACCAATGCACTGAGTGGAGGATCAGACCCGCTGCCTTAACAAGTCAAAGAAATATCATAAGTATAAAATACATCATTGTTTGTTTGGTTCGTAGGGTCACAACGAGCCTCTTCCCTTGCTGCATCAAGACTGGAACAGGCCATGTCTGAAATAACTATGCAGAGCAGCACAATGAAGCAGGGACCTGTGAAGCTGTGGACAACTCTTGAACAAATTTGGCTACAAGCTGGTAAGTCCTGAGCTACCTGGAATTCCTCTTTCCCTTCAGTGATGAATCAAATGACATAAGTATTAACAGAGTAGTTGAAGTCATGAGTTGAAAATCACTCTATTCCAGCAGAAAATCTGCCTGTCTATCCCAGATGGTTTTTGAAACACTACTCATTTAATTTTGACCCCAAATACTGTAGTAGTGTGATTTCTCAGCTCACTATTGTTTTTCCAAAACACACAGAAAACTTCAGTCATCACTATAATATGCTTTTAGAAAAAGAGGGTAGGTAGTTCTTCACTAACAAATGGTAGTTCATAAGGAAAATTATTTTCACTCTCCTTTTACTAAATGCTTCCCTGTAATAAGACTGGGCAAACCATGTCTTAAATGTGATTTAATCATTCCAATTTTTGCTGGGGTTTAAGTGAAAATTATTAGAAAGAGCATGTTCTCCACTCTGTCCTCGACTGTTTGAACCTCCCAGGGTCTTTTAGATTGAGTATCAATTTGAGACACTAATGCAAAGATGCTTCAGCAGAGCACATAAAGGCAAAACAGTGAAGAGAGACTCTATCCACAAGCGATTTCCAAAGCCATGGAGGGGTTTTATGTAGGACATTTGTTGAGGAGCAGAATTGCCCAGCGCTTTGTGTTTGCATTCCAGTGTTTCTGAACTGATAGAGTTCCAACCCTATAATTTTGTTTTTAGGAGATACAGTTTTTCTACCATAGCTGGGCCCACAGTTGCACACTTGAAATTACCTTTGAGTGCTGTGATTGCTTATTAGATGTTTCACCATTTGCAATGCAGAAAGAAAAGCAGAACCCCCTGGAAAGCTGCTGATAGTTTTCTATTCTTTGTGCAGGAGAACCTTTCAAATTCTCATTTTGCTAATCTATGCAATTGACAGTTCTCATATAAGACCTGGCAGTCTCACCCTAGTTCGTAGCAAAGATTTTCATAGCTGCTTTTGTGGGTAATTTCCTACCAATTAGACTTTAGTTCTAGAACAAAATATATTACATTGTTTTTGCTACAATTTGATTACTATTAACAAAAGAAGTTACCTTATAAAATGCATCATCCTTTAAGTTAATCATATGTGTTCTCCTTAATGGCTTGTGTGGATGTAAATTTCAGTGATGTGTTGTGGGCTTCAAAATCACCAGCAAGATTGTGCTTTATTCAGTTTATACTCCTGATTTAAGGCTGCAGAGAGGGCTGGTGGGGAGCAAAATAAATGGAGTTTATTATGATGAGAAGTCAGGTGTCTGTTGTCCATCATCCTACAGTTGCTCTAGGCAGTTTACATTTTTGCTGCTGTCTGAAAAGACAAAAGCAATAAAGACCTAGTGCTTGCTGTGAATTGCTATGATTGCTTTTCCGTGTGAATAGAGTGCCTTTCTGAAAGGTGTTAATTAATTCTTTTAGATAGAATTTATTTTTATAAGCTGTAACTTTTCTTTCTTATCTTTTGTAAGCCTTTGTTTTGCCTCATGCTTAGTTTTAGCTGGACTCAATTCAGGATTGATATTTTGAAAACATGTACTGTGACTGCTTTGTAATTTCATTACTGAAGTAGTTATTGTTATGGATGCAGCTTAATGAGCTCCTGCTGAGGTACTGGCCATTCTCTTCTCACAGTAGTGTGGAAGCTGCTGGATTCTGGTATCCTGAAGGATGAAGAGAGGTGCAAGTATTTGGGGTAGTCTTTACTCTCTGTGGAGAAGGGCACAGTGCCTGAATAATTAGAGGACTTCTTGGAAGTGGATTGGCCTTACGCTGAGGCTATTGAATGGAATAATCCAAAGAGTGTCACTGACCTTCACTACTAGGATCTTTCCTGTCTGAAAGGAGAGGAAGGGAGGAAGAAGTGTACTTGTAAGAAGTACCTTCCAAAACAGAGATATTTCATAGACAACCAATTAAACAGATATGCATAGTTAGAGGAAGTTGAGGTAGTCAGGTGGTTTTACATTGCTGCTTGCCCAAAAACTAATGGCTGTGGAAAGCAACAGGCAATTAGTGCAACATTCTGATGCCTGCCTATGGAGTCAGTTGATATTCATGGAAGGTCTGCATCAGTATGCTGTAGATTTTCATCAGGTTTAGCTTGGACTTGTCCTTTTTCAATCAGTGACTCATCTTGTGACTCCAGGCAAGTTGCCTAACTTTTTCATACCTCAGTGTCCTATCTCCAAAGGGAAAAAATGTTAATCCGCCTTTGGGAAATGACTTGTGTGTTGTTGTTTTTGTTGTCATTAACACTTCGACCTTTTTAGTATGACTCATAAATCCTTAGATAAAGTTATTACAATTTCCTAACCTCATACTACAGTTAATTTATAACAAAGCATCCGTCCTTCTCAGACACTCACAGGACACAGCTGGCCGTGCCTCTGTGCATGGGTAGGGATTGAGAGTGCCAGGTTGCAATCTGGGTGCCATTAAAGCCATTGCAGTTGCCATGCTTTCTGATATCCCAGGGCATGAGAGGTAATGGTACCAACCAGCTGGTGCAGTTAGAACTTTGTGCAGTGAGACTGGGGAGAGGCACACAGAACCAGCTATCCCACAGCTATACAGGACTGCTCTTACAGCCTTCCAGCAGCCAGGCCAGGCCACAATGCCAGTACATATACTTGAAAAAGGGACTGTTAGGGGGTGGCACCTATCCAGTGATGCCTACATAGGGGTATCCTTAGTGCATCATTCTCCAGCTGCAGTAGGAGTTCCTGCCTTGTACAGAAGTGTCCTCAGTCCCTCCAAGCTGCAGAGCCCTTGTTCTCTAACGGGTTTCAAAATTAGCTTATGAGAATTTGTGTGTTCCCTTAACAGTGGCTGAAGGGAAGCCTGTGAACCCTGTGCAAATACTTAATCCCTTTTGTGCTGTGATAAAGATGCTTATTTCACCCACAAGACAGCATACACTCAGTGGTTTTATCTGTAATTTTTCTGGGTTTGTGACCAGCATAGTTTTGTAGGGAAGACAAGAAAGCACCATCTTTGGATGTGCAGCTGCTAAATCAAAATGTGTTGCGCTGTAATAGATGCTGTACCTTGTCTTTCCCTGCAGCAATGCCTAGTGATCTTTGGCAAGGTAATTTTTTGTAGCCTCCTGTAAACAAAGAGCTGCTTGATGGATCTGTGGTCTCTAGAAAGAGTCCTTTCTCTTTCAAGCATCAAAATAAAACCGTGAATTCTCACTGTTAATCTAATGTCCAGCCATCTCTTTCAGGACCACCTGGGAGTAGTGTCATCTGCAGCAAAGAACTCGGCACATTGCCTTAGTGGCCTTCCATGTCTTCCTGTTTTCTGCACAGGTAGTCACAGCTTTGGAAGAGCAGTGTGCTGTCCTCAAAGACTAGAGAAGTCCCCTGCAGCAGGCATGCTTGGAATACTAACAGGCACATTCTATTTCCAAGTGTTCTGCAGCAGAGATTGTTAACACAGCTTGTCTGGTCCCTTTTAACAATAACCCCTCTAGTCCTCTTGAATATAATGGCTGCTTAAAAAGAGTCATCTCGGAACACTTTAACATTTATGAGCCTAAACATTATTCTTGGCCCCATGTCTGAGAAACAGCTCGTTTCAGGGAGTACTTAGGAGCAGTGCTACAGTGCACATGCTATGGTGGTGCAGCTCCAGGAGAGGTGTTCATTATGCAATCCTTATGCTCATTTCTCCTCTTTGTTCTGCTTTTCATGGCTGAGAGCTTGAATTCAAGTTTGAGAAGAGGCAAGGAACGTTGGTGGCACTGGTGAAGCTTGTTAACTCCTCCCTCTTCCTGCAGGAAGAGCTGCAAGGGGAATCACAGAGATTACTAGTGCTAGTGTTTCTAACAGTCATGCCAGTACTCCTTTTTGTTTAGAAAATAGAGTCATGCTGTTTGACTAAAGAAAATATACTTGAAATTGTTCAAATTTATGACCAAAATTTACCTTCATTCGGTATTTTTATAAGATCACTTTTGACCCAGAGAGCAAAGCATGTCAGTATTGGAAAGAAATAGTGTTAATAGTTCTAGGCTCTTTGGGTGACTGGAATGATTTTTTATCCAAAGTATGTGTGATTATATTTCCAGGCAGTAATCACCATATGCTCTATTTATGCACAGCATTTTAGAATGCTACGAGCCAGTTTTAATAAGAGTTCTAATATTCTAGCTCCTGTTACTGTATTATTTTAAGCTTTACTTTTAACTACAAGGTCCACTCTGTTTGTCTTTACTAGTAGTTTATATCTGACAATTTAGCTTCTTGACTAACCCAATACTTTACCAAATATGGCCACTCACAGCAAAGTAGGTCTGGTAATTTGATCTGAGTTTGGCTAAATGCCTGCTAAGCTCAGCCTGTGAACCTCACCAGGTAGACCCTAAGGCTAGTTTAAAGTAGGATTTAGAGAAAAATGACAAGCATACTATTCCATGTCCTCACAGCGGGGCTGGAGTGGGCTACCTGCTGTCTCAGTAACATGCTACAATTTAACATAGGAAAAATAGTTTATACTGAACATGCTACAAACAAGAAATGCAAAGAGAGCCAGTGCAGCAGAGAACAGTGAGCTAATGGAAAAACATCTGCTCCCCCGAGTTATGTACAGCAGGAACTTTTTTTTTCCCTTTCGCAAAACACTTGTGATTTATTTATTTTATTCCATATGGGCCAGTTCCTGGGAAAAAGCTGTGTTAGAGGAGATGGGCTTTGTTCCACAAGAAAGTGTTGTTGGGGCCAGTGGGCTGAAGTCTCCAATGTGCTGGTCTGCAGCCATGGAGCTGGATCCTGGCAGCAACCAAGGGTGTAACCAGGCCCTCCCCTGCTGCCCCTCTGCTCACCCAGCACAGCTTGTGTTTGCACAGCCTGCACATGGGCACTTCAGTGTTTCTCCTTCTCCAAGCTTTTAGCAGTCCTAAGCCCCTGCAAGTTATTAGCTCTGATATTAAAGGTGTTAATCAGGTGTGGGAGACGTCTTTGTTGGTATTGCCAGAATGGCTGGGTCAGATGCTGTCCTG